GGATGACAGAGGCAAGCAATTTGGAGGCGATGGAGATCAGACTGATTCCTCTATGGCTGCCGCATTCCGATCATGAACCTCCTTTGAAAATTGGGACTATGATGGAGCGGCTCCAATCGGTTGGGACAGTTTCCTGCTCCCACAGTCTCACTAGTAACTCGTGTAAATCATCCACAAGAGCAGGTCCCCCGAATTTGAAAAGGGCTGGAGGAAGGTCATCAGGTCCCGCGGCTTTATTAAACTTCCACAGTTTGATCTCATGTTCGAGTTCTGAGCGAGAAGGTGGATCCAAAGGAACAGCCCACGGAGCAGGGCGATCACCGGTCGGCGAGAAATCTAACAATTCCGACCGATTAAATTGCCTTTCAAAGTGCTCAGCCCAACGTTCCAGGCGTTTTGATAAATTGTGAATAGGCTGTCCACTCTCGTCACGTATAGTCTCACTAACACCACGTCTCCTGCTGCCCGTTTCCCGTATAAGACGGAATAACTCACGATGGTTACCAAGGGCAGCGGCCATTTCCATCTCTGTTGCACGACGAGACCACCAGGATTCGCGGTCTCTCTTCAGGCTAGCACGGAGTTTTGCCCGGAGCTCTTTGCGAGTTTCATTGTGTTCGCTTCCAGCCGGAATATGCCGGCGAGCATAAGTTCCAAAGACTGTGAAGAGACCCAATGTTCATGTTGGCGATTAGACATACCACATGAGGATTTGCCTGCTGCTAGTAAGGCCTGTTGCGTATGAGACCAGTGAGCTTCAATTGCATCCAGTGAGCGTTTATCCAACTCGGATGACAGCGTAATTTGATAGGCGTTCAGAACAGCTGGATTCACCAGTCTGCCGGTGTCAATGCGCTCACAACATCGTCGCGGGCGCCCGCCAAAGCGCATCCGCAGGTCAGCACATACAAGTGCATGATCGGTGTCAACACCTGTGCTCCAAATCGAGCGACAGTTCTGGACGCAGCCTCTCCAGCGGTAACTGATAGCAATGTGATCGATTTGCGTCCATAGCTGGTTCGAGGCTGGTGGGCGCCAAGTCACCCTCCGGCGGGTGCTGTGTCGGAAATTAGTGCTCGCAAGATATAAGCGAGCATCCTCACACAAATGAAGTAACCGCTCACCGTTATCATTACGGGAGTCTATACCATGTTGGCCGCCCAGATGCAGCTCATCTGCGGATAATTTTCCAACTTGAGCGTTCAGATCCCCAGCCAGCACTACAGTGTCCGAGCTTCTTCTGTGGCGAAGGAGTTCGTTCAGTTGGCGATAGAAGTCGTCTTTTACCGAGTCATCGCTACAGTTTGTCGGTGCATAGGCAGCGATAACGAATAGACACCTATTAGTCCCGCGCGACTTCGAGGTTTTGAACGAGCCAGCCAATCGGACCGCACACATCCGGCTACTGATTGGAATCCAATCAACCAGAGCAGCTTCAGCCCGGGGACTCAGGGCAATACCAACGCCGGCTTGGCCGGTGCTCGAAGCTGCATCGTCACCGGATAGGCGCAATGAGAAAGTGCTGCTAGTGTCACCTGAAGGGGATCTCAGAGTGAGTACAGAGCTCGAGTCTTGCAGGCGGGTCTCCGATAAGCAGCAGACATCGATCGAGAGGGTCTCCAATGTTCGGGCAAGTGCTGCCTGTTGACCAATCTGAAGCAATGTGCGAACATTGAGGCATGCCAGTCTGAAGGAGGATCGAGGGCTCCAAATGGAAGCCGATGAACTGGAATGGGCCGCTTGCTTGGACATGGGCCAGTTGACAGTGCAGGAATGACGCTCTGCGTTCACCTGTGAGTTGAAACTAAAAGACAAGCGACTATTGAAGCAAGGTGGGGGAGGGCCGAGAATTGGGGGGTTGAAAACAGGGGGGATAAAAGTAAAGCTGGAACGGGACGATAAGGGAGAAAACGCGCAAGAAGGGGTATAAGAAGATGGGAAGGCCTGAGCAATAGCATCCAAACCCTTATCCACCCTGCTCGATGCAGCAGATAGGGCACCGGTGATTATCCTCTGCGGTGGCCAGAGCATCAGAAATTTGTTTGGGGAAGGATTCATTGTATTGCGTGGGCAGGAT